ATGACTGAACCATGTGTGTGTTGCAATGCTGTCCTGTAGAGGTGGGACAATGTTTGTATCTTTCAGTGCTGTGTTTGAGCTCTGAGAACTGTTTGTGTTCTACACTGAACAAAAATATAAACACAACATGCTACAATTTCAAACATTTTACTGAGTTACAGTTCATGTGAGGAAATCAGTCAATTGAAATAAATTCATTAGGCCCTAATCCATGGATTTCACATGACTGGGAATACAGATATGCATCTGTTGGTCACAGATACCTTTAAATAAAAGGTAGGGGCGTGGATCAGAAAGCCAGTCAGTATCTGCGACATGGGTCTGTGCATTATCATGCTGAAACATGAGGTGATGGCGGCAGATTAATGGCATGACAATGGGCCTCAGGATCTCGTCACGGTATCTCTGTTCATTCAAATTGTCATCGATAAAATGGAATTGTGTTTGTTGTCCGTAGCTTATGCCTGCCCATACCATAACCCCACCGCCACCACGGGGCACTCTGTTCACAACGTTGACATCAGCAAACCACTCGCCCACACGATGCTATACTGCCATCTGCCCGGTACAGTTGAAACCGGGATTCATCCGTGAAGAGCACACTTCACCAGCGTGCCAGTGGCCATCGAAGTGAGCATTTGCCAACTGAAGTTGGTCACGACGCTGAATTGCAGTCAGGTCAAGACCCTGGTGAGGACGACGAGCACGCAGATGAGCTTCCCTGAGACGTATTCTGACAATTTGTGCAGAAGTTCTTTGGTTGTGCAAACCCACAGTTTCATCAGCTGTCGGCTGGCTGGTCTCAGATGATCCCGCAGGTAAAGAAGCCTGATGTGGAGGTCCTGGGCTGGCGTGGTGACACGTGGTCTGTGGTTGTGAGGCTGGTTGGATGTACTGCCAAATTCTCTAGAACGACATTGGAGGCGGCTTATAGTAGAGAAATTAACATTCAATTATCTGGCAACAGCTCTGGTGGACATTCCTGCAGTCAGCATGCCAATTGCACGCTCCCTCAAAACTTGAGACATTTGTGGCATTGTGTTGTGTGACAAAACTGCACATTTTAGAGTGGCCTTTTATTGTCCCCAGCACAAGGTGTACCTGTGTAATGATCATGCTGTTTAATCAGCTTCTTGATATGCAACACCTGTCAGGTGGATGGATTATCTTGGCAAAGGAGAAATGCTCACTAACAGGGATGAAAATAAATTTGTGCCCAAAATTTGAGCGAAATAAGCTTTTTGTGCGTGTGGAAAATTTCTGGGATCTTTTATTTCAGCTCATGAAACATGGGACCACTTTACATGTTGCCTTTATATTTATATTTTTGTTCAGTATATGTCAGTGCTGTGTGTGTGTGAGAGAGACGTAACAGTGTTTGTGTTCTATGTTAGTACTGTGAATTTGTGATGTAACGCTTCATCTCATTGCAGTGCGGTACTGTATTTCAGGTTAACTGTGTTGCGGTACTGTATTTTAGGTTATAACTGTGTTGTGGTACTGTATTTTAGGTTATAACTGTTGCGGTACTCTATTTTAGGTTATAACTGTTGCGGTACTGTATTTTAGGTTATAACTGTGTTGCGGTACTGTATTTTAGGTTATAACTGTGTTGCGGTACTGTATTTTAGGTTATAACTGTGTTGTGGTACTGTATTTTAGGTTATAACTGTTGCGGTACTGTATTTTAGGTTATAACTGTTGCGGTACTGTATTTTAGGTTAACTGTTGCGGTACTGTATTTTAGGTTATAACTGTGTTGCGGTACTGTATTTTAGGTTATAACTGTGTTGCGGTACTGTATTTTAGGTTATAACTGTTGCGGTACTGTATTTTAGGTTATAACTGTTTTGCGGTACTGTATTTTAGGTTATAACTGTTTTGCGGTACTGTATTTTAGGTTAACTGTGTTGCGGTACTGTATTTTAGGTTAACGGTGTTGCGGTACTGTATTTTAGGTTATAACTGTGTTGCGGTACTGTATTTCAGGTTAACTGTGTTGCGGTACTGTATTTCAGGTTATAACTGTGTTGCGGTACTGTATTTCAGGTTATAACTGTGTTGCGGTACTGTATTTCAGGTTATAACTGTGTTGCGGTACTGTATTTCAGGTTATAACTGTGTTTGCGGTACTGTATTTCAGGTTAACTGTGTTGCGGTACTGTATTTTAGGTTATAACTGTGTTGCAGTACTGTATTTTAGGTTATAACTGTGTTGCAGTACTGTATTTCAGGTTAACTGTGTTGCAGTACTGTATTTCAGGTTATAACTGTGTTGCGGTACTGTATTTCAGGTTATAACTGTGTTGCGGAACTGTATTTTAGGTTAACTGTGTTGCGGTACTGTATTTCAGGTTATAACTGTGTTTTGCGGTACTGTATTTTAGGTTAACTATGTTGCGGTACTGTATTTCAGGTTATAACTGTGTTGCGGTACTGTATTTCAGGTTATAACTGTTGCGGTACTGTATTTTAGGTTTAACTGTGTTGGGTACGTATTAGGTATAACTGTATTGCGGTCCTGTATTTTAGGTTATAACTGTTTTGCGGTACTGTCTTTTAGGTTATAACTTGTTGCGGTACTGTATTTTAGGTTATAAACTGTGTTGCGGTACTGTATTTTATGGTTTAACTGTGTGTGCGGTACTGTATTCAGTTATAACTGTGTTTGCGGTACTGTATTTTAGGTTAACTGTGTTGCGGTACTGTATTTCAGGTTATAAACTGTGTTTGCGGTACTGTATTTCAGGTTATAACTGTGTTGCGGTACTGTATTTCAGGTTAACTGTGTTGCGTACTGTATTTCAGGTTCATAACTGTTGCGGTAACTGTATTTTAGGTTATAACTGTGTTGCGGTACTGTATTTTAGGTTATAACTGTGTTGCGGTACTGTATTTTAGGTTATAACTTTGTTGCGGTACTGTATTTTAGGTTATAACTGTGTTGCGGTACTGTATTTTAGGTTAACTGTGTTGCGGTACTGTGTTGCGGTACTGTATTTTAGGTTATAACTGTGTTGCGGTACTGTATTTTAGGTTAACTGTGTTGCGGTACTGTATTTTAGGTTAACTGTGTTGCGGTACTGTATTTCAGGTTATAACTGTGTTGCGGTACTGTATTTTAGGTTAACTGTGTTGCGGTACTGTATTTCAGGTTATAACTGTGTTGCGGTACTGTATTTTAGGTTATAACTGTTGCGGTACTGTATTTCAGGTTAACTGTGTTGCGGTACTGTATTTCAGGTTAACTGTGTTGCAGTACTGTATTTCAGGTTATAACTGTATTGCGGTACTGTATTTCAGGTTATAACTGTATTTCAGGTTAACTGTGTTGCGGTACTGTATTTTAGGTTAACTGTGTTGCGGTACTGTATTTTAGGTTAACTGTGTTGCGGTACTGTATTTTAGGTTAACTGTGTTGCGGTACTGTATTTTAGGTTATAACTGTGTTGCGGTACTGTATTTTAGGTTATAACGGTTGCGGTACTGTATTTCAGGTTAACTGTGTTGCGGTACTGTGTTTCAGGTTAACTGTGTTGCGGTACTGTATTTTAGGTTATAACTGTGTTGCGGTACTGTATTTCAGGTTAACTGTGTTGCGGTACTGTATTTCAGGTTAACTGTGTTGCGGTACTGTATTTTAGGTTAACTGTGTTGCGGTACTGTATTTCAGGTTATAACTGTGTTGCGGTGCTGTATTTAAGGTTAACTGTGTTGCGGTACTGTATTTCAGGTTATAACTGTTGCGGTACTGTATTTCAGGTTAACTGTGTTGCGGTACTGTATTTCGGGTTATAACTGTGTTGCGGTACTGTATTTTAGGTTAACTGTGTTGCGGTACTGTATTTCAGGTTAACTGTGTTGCGGTACTGTATTTCAGGTTATAACTGTGTTGCGGTACTGTATTTTAGGTTATAACTGTGTTGCGGTACTGTATTTTAGGTTAACTGTGTTGCGGTACTGTATTTCAGGTTAACTGTGTTGCGGTACTGTATTTCAGGTTATAACTGTATTGCGGTACTGTATTTCAGGTTATAACTGTGTTGCGGTACTGTATTTCAGGTTATAACTGTGTTGCGGTACTGTATTTCAGGTTATAACTGTGTTGCGGTACTGTATTTCAGGTTAACTGTGTTGCGGTACTGTATTTTAGGTTATAACTGTGTTGCGGTACTGGTATTTTAGGTTAACTGGTTGTGGTACTGTATTTCAGGTTACTGTGTTGCGGTACTGTATTTCAGGTTATAACTGTATTGCGGTAATGTAATTTCAGGTTATAACTGTGTTGCGGTACTGTATTTCAGGTTATAACTGTGTTGCGGTACTGTATTTCAGGTTAACTGTGTTGCGGTACTGTATTTTAGGTTAACTGTGTTGCGGTACTGTATTTTAGGTTAACTGTGTTGCGGTACTGTATTTTAGGTTATAACTGTGTTGCGGTACTGTATTTTAGGTTAACTGTGTTGCGGTACTGTATTTTAGGTTTTAACTGTGTTGCGGTACTGTATTTTAGGTTATAACTGTGTTGCGGTACTGTATTTCAGGTTAACTGTGTTGCGGTACTGTATTTTAGGTTATAACTGTGTTGCGGTACTGTATTTCAGGTTAATTGTGTTGCGGTACTGTATTTCAGGTTATAACTGTTGCGGTACTGTATTTCAGGTTAACTGTGTTGCGGTACTGTATTTTAGGTTATAACTGTGTTGCGGTACTGTATTTCAGGTTATAACTGTGTTGCGGTACTGTATTTCAGGTTATAACTGTGTTGCGGTACTGTATTTCAGGTTATAACTGTTGCGGTACTGTATTTCAGGTTATAACTGTGTTGCGGTACTGTATTTCAGGTTATAACTGTGTTGCGGTACTGTATTTCAGGTTATAACTGTGTTGCGGTACTGTATTTCAGGTTATAACTGTGTTGCGGTACTGTATTTCAGGTTATAACTGTGTTGCGGTACTGTATTTCAGGTTATAACTGTGTTGCGGTGCGGTGCTGTAATATAACTGTGTTGTATGTTTTGCGGCAGTGCGGTGCTGTCGTCGTACTTCCTGACAGAGCGGCTGAATCTCCATGGGAAGCTGGGCTGTCTGCTCAGCATCCTGGGCTCCACTACCATGGTGATCCACGCCCCTCAGGAGGAAGACATCAGCAGCCTGGACCACATGGCCAGGAAACTGGTGGACCCAGGTCAGTACCGGACAGCCCAGAACCCCTCCTCGGTTACAGGAGCTTCTGTGTCTGAAAACGTGACTAGCTGCTTCTTCAATTCCTCTTAAAGCTCTTCGGAGGAGGTGGTCCGAGACTGGGACTGGGTACTGGGTACTGGGGACTGGGACTGGGTACTGGGACTGGGGACTGGGTACTGGGACTGGGTACTGGGTACTGGGACTGGGGACTGGGTACTGGGACTGGGGACGGGTACTGGGACTGGGTACTGGGAATGGGTACTGGGTACTGGGACTTGGGACTGGGACTGGGGACTGGGGACTGGGACTGGGTACTGGGTACTGTCCTCTCAGGCGCTTTGATTAGTCACTTTTTCAGACACAGCCAAGGTCACTTCATTCTTCCGTTTTAATTTTCTGTCAGCTAAGCCAACCTCTGTCTCCTCTTCCTCAGGTTTCCTGGTGTTTGCCACCTTCGTCATCATCGTAGCGCTCATCTTCATCTTGGTGGTGGGCCCTCGGCACGGCCAGACCAACATCATGGTGTATATAACCATCTGCTCTGTGATAGGAGCTCTGTCTGTGTCGTGTGTGAAGGGGTTGGGCATCGCCATCAAAGAGGCCATAGCTGGGAGGCCCGTGGTGGGGAACCCTTTAGCCTGGGTGTTACTGCTAGGGCTGGTGGCCTGCGTCTCCACCCAGATCAACTACCTGAACAAGGCTCTGGATATCTTCAACACCTCCCTGGTCACGCCCATCTACTACGTGTTCTTCACCACCTCGGTCCTCTCCTGCTCTGCGATCCTTTTCAAGGAGTGGGAGCACATGGCTAGTGCTGACGTCATCGGGACTCTGAGTGGCTTCCTGACCATTATAGTTGGTATCTTTCTGCTCCATGCCTTCAAGGACCTCAGTGTGAGCCTGTCCACGCTGGCTGTGTCCATCAGGAAGGACGAGAGGCCCGGGCCGGCAGCTAACGGAGTGGCAACACACGGCACCTACGAACTGCTGCACAATGACTTCACAGAGATGGACCTGGAGGAGAGGGAGGTCGGCCTGCCGTTTGACAGCCTGTCCAGGAGGAATGGAGCGATGACAGCCTCTTAGAGGAACTAGCTAGCTGCCTGGCCCTGGGCCACTGACTGACTAGGGTTGCGTCCCAAATGGCACCCTTTTCCCTTTATATTGCAATACCTTGGTCAAAAGTAGTGCACTATATAGAGAAGAGGGTACTATTTGGGATACAGCTTAAGACCGCACTACCATTACACTGGTGTGGATGTTTTTGTTGCGTTTTTGTTGTGGAAACCTTAAGACAATCAACTCTTGACTTGGATGGACCAACTGATTGTACTTGAATTTGATTTGCCTTCTGTTTTCTCTGAATATCTGACTACATGGTGTAGACGGAGCTTAATCTCACCCCCCCTGGATATCTGACTACATGGTGTAGACAGAGCTTAATCTCACCCCCCTTGAGCTGCCAATATTCTACTATTACGTTATACCTTCTGTACAGAGATCTGTATTTAAACATGCACAGAGTTTCTTTCTACAAATCAACAGCTTTGTTTTTGTAATATTCTTATCCAACCCTCTGGTGGAGATCCCAGGTCTGATTAAATCTGGCTCCAGTTCTGGGCCTGGCCGGTCAATAAGGGTGTGTTCCATATAACACTCTATTCCCTATATAGTGCACTACTTTTGACCGGGGCACATTGGTCCCTGGTCTAAAGTAGTGCACTAAATAGGGCATAGGGTGTAATTTGGGACACAAACTAAGACGTGTTCCGAATGTGATACTTGAAAGGAAGAGTTGTCGGAAAATTACCATGAACTTGTTTTGTATCTTTTACATAAAAATGGCCTCAAGAACAAGCAGAGATTTGTTACATATTTATTGACTTAAAATTATTAAAATAATTCAAACACAAAAAAGGCAAAGTGAATAAATGCTTATCATCATTATGAACTTGGTTACTTTACAGATTTCCTTTAAGATTATAGGTTTTTAGCATGAAAATGTTTAACACCATATAGAAAATTTACTCTACCGTTTCCAATTCCCCTTCATTGAACACAGGATCCTGTTCTCCAATGATATCCCAAACCCCTTAAATCATCATCATCATCATCAAGTCCCGTTTCATACCCTGGTCTATAGTGATCCATATGTATCAAACACAGAGTTTAGGACGCAAAAAAACTATGAAAATAGCGATTGCTACCTTAAGGCACAATTGGGTACAAAAATCATCCTGACAAACAGCATGTAAGGGAAGTTGGACCTCGTTAGTCTCATGGGCCACTGCAGCTTTAAGACCTACTGATGGAAGAAGCAGATGGAGGAATATTTGATATAAGTGCGTCCAAAAAGGCTCCCTATTCCCTATGTAGCGCAGTTATATAAAATAGTGCCCAATAGGGTAACATTTGAGATGCAACCTTTATTGTGTTTCATCTGACATAAGTGGATGGTGCTATGGGAAATGTATTGCTGATCCATGTTATTGGATGGTGCACCTGTCAATCTCAGTTGCTGGCCAGGGATTGGTGGATAGGAGGCTGGAAGCACCGGACATGCTCCACAGGCATGTTTTCCCCATCGCCTGACTTCAGGTACTTGTTCAGAATGGCGTAGATCTCATCGTTGAGAATCTGGAACTTGTGGATTCTCTCCGCCATACTTTTAAGAGGCTGAGGAGGGAGAGACATTGTTTTGATCGGATCTAAAATACAGTCTGGCAAACCCAAACATGACACCACCTTGAAAGAAAAAAATTAATAAAAGTGAAAAATATTTCCATGGTCGTATTCACTAGGAACCAAATTTGCTGAACGTTTTGCACTAATGAATACGAATGACCCAGATGTTTGGGGTCTGAAGGTTCCAGTGCTGACCCCTGAACCTCCACTCACCACACTCTTGATGATCTCATCCTTTCCGTCGTGTTTCTGCACCTTCAGCAGGTGATAGCTGAAGTCCAGGATGTCAAAGCGTCTCTGTTGACCCAGTAGGGAGATGATCATACACCCAGCCCAGTGGAGACCGTCTCCGAAACACTGCCTGGATAATACAACACACAGGTTATACACCCAGTCCATTGGAGACCGTCCCTGAAACACTGAGACAACACAGGTTATACACCCAGCCAAGTTGAGACTGTCCCTGAAACGCCGTCGCAATCATCTCTCTCTCTCTCTCGCTCTCTGTCTGTCTGTCTGTCTCTCTCTCTCTCTCCCTCTCTCGCTCTCTCTCTCCCCTCTCTCTCTCTCTCTCTCCCCTCTCTCTCTCCTCTCTCTCTCCCCTCTCTCTCTCTCCCCTCTCTCTCTCTCTCCTCTCTCCCCTCCCTCTCTCTCTCTCTCCCTCTCTCTCTCTCTCTCCCTCTCTCTCCCTCCCTCTCCCTTCTGCTATATCCTTCTCCCTCCTGTCTCCTGATTCAGCCTCTTCAACCCTACTCTCCTCCCTTTCCGCATCCTAGGACTCGCTCTGTCCCCTTTCGTCCTGGCCGGGCCGGCCCTCCCTCCTGCTTCGTGGTTCATTGCGAGCTTACAGAACAGGGCGGCGGGCGGCTGAGAGAAAATGGCGGAAAACTAAACTTCCGGAGGACCTATCTTCCTTTCCCTCCCTCCGCTCTACCTTCTCTTCCTCTGTATCTGCTGCTAAAGCCATCCTTTCACTCCCTCCTCTCTACCTTCCCTTCCTCTGGATCTGCTGCTAAAGCCATCATTTCACTCCCTCCTCTCTACCTTCTCTTCCTCTGTATCTGCTGCTAAAGCCATCCTTTCCCTCCCTCCTCTCTACCTTCTCTTCCTCTGTATCTGCTGCTAAAGCCATCCTTTCACTCCCTCCGCTCTACCTTCTCTTCCTCTGTATCTGCTGCTAAAGCCATCCTTTCTCCTCCCCTCCGCTCTACCTTCTCTTCCTCTGTATCTGCTGCTAAAGCCATCCTTTCCCTCCCTCCGCTCTACCTTCTCTTCCTCTGTATCTGCTGCTAAAGCCATCCTTTCACTCCCTCCTCTCTACCTTCTCTTCCTCTGTATCTGCTGCTAAAGCCATCCTTTCACTCCCTCCGCTCTACCTTCTCTTCCTCTGTATCTGCTGCTAAAGCCATCCTTTCACTCCCTCCGCTCTACCTTCTCTTCCTCTGTATCTGCTGCTAAAGCCATCCCTTCACTCCCTCCGCTCTACCTTCTCTTCCTCTGTATCTGCTGCTAAAGCCATCCCTTCACTCCCTCCGCTCTACCTTCTCTTCCTCTGTATCTGCTGCTAAAGCCACTTTTTTTATCACTAACTCTTTTCCACCTTCTCTTCCCTCCTTGCGGACGACTTTGTCAACCACTTTGTCAACCGCTCCTCATTCACTCAGCCTATTGAGTCCACTGGTCCCACTCACACAGAACTACCCTACGCCTTGACCTCTTTCTCCCCTCTCTCTCCAGATGACATCCTGCGACTAGTGAGGTCTGGCCGCCTGACAACCTGTCCACTCGACCCCATCTCCTTCTCCCTTCTCCAGACCTTCTCTGGAGACCTTCTCCCATTCCTCACTTCCCTCATCAACACATCCCTGACCACTGGCTGCATCCCCTCTGACTTCAAGATGGCCAGAGTTGCTTCCCTCCTCAAGAAACCAACACTCGACTCATCTTTCTTTTCAAAACACTTGGTCAGAGACAGCACGCTCAACTCTATCATTATCTCTCTCAGAACGATCTTCTTGACCCTAACCAGTCAGGCTTCAAGACGAGTCACTCAACCGAGACTGCTCTTCTCTGTGTCACGGAGGTTCTCCGCACTGCCAAAGCTGACTCTCTCTCCTCTGTTCTCATCCTCCTACTCCTTCGACACCGTGAACCATCAGATCCTCCTCTCCACCCTCTCAGGGCTGATCCTCCTCTCCACCCTCTCAGGGCTGATCCTCCTCTCCACCCTCTCAGGGCTGATCCTCCTCTCCACCCTCTCAGGGCTGATCCTCCTCTCCACCCTCTCAGGGCTGATCCTCCTCTCCACCCTCTCAGGGCTGATCCCCCTCTCCACCCTCTCAGGGCTGATCCTCCTCTCCACCCTCTCAGGGCTGATCCTCCTCTCCACCCTCTCAGGGCTGGGTGTCTCAGGCTCTCAGGGTTGCATCCTATCCTGGCAGGCCGCTCCTACCAGGTGACGTGGAGAGGATCTGTGTCTGCACCACGTACTCTCACTACTGGTGTCCCCCAGGGCTCGGTTCTAGGCCCTCTCCTCTTCTCTCTATACACCAAGTCACTCGTCTCCGTCATATCCTCACATGGACTCTCCTATCATTGCTATGTGGATGACGCGCAACTACTTTTCTCCTTCTGACACGCATCTCTGCATGCCTGGCAGATAGCTCAGCTTGGATGTCGGCCCACCACCTCAACCTCATCAAGACGGAACTGCTCTTCCTCCCCGGGAAGGCCTGCCCGCTTAAAGACCTCTTCATCACGGTTGATAACTCCACAGTGTCGTCCTCCCAGAGTGCAAATAACCTTGGCCTGACCCTGGACAACACCCTGGTGTCTCTGCAAACATCAAAGCAGTGACTCTCTCCTGCAGGGTCATGCTCTATAACCTCCGTAGAGTATAACCCTACCTCACACAGGAAGCAGTGCAGGTCCTAATCCAGGCACTTGTCCTGTCCCGTCTGGACTATTTCAACTCTCTGTTGGCTGGGCTCCCCGCTTGTGCCATCAAACCCCTGCAACTTATCCAGAACGCTGCAGCCTGCCTGGTGTTCAACCTTCCCAAGTTCTCCCATGTCACCCCGCTCCTCTGCACACTCCACTGGCTTCCAGTCGAAGCTCACATCCACTACAACACCATGGTGCTTACCTACGGAGCAGCAAGAGAAACTGCCCCTCCCTACCTTCAGGCTATGCTCAAACCCTTCACCCCAACCTGAGTCCCTACCTTCAGGCTATGCTCCAACCCTTCACCCCAACCTGAGTCCCTACCTTCAGGCTATGCTCCAACCCTACACCCCAACCCGAGCACTCCGTTCTGCCACCTCAGGTCTCTTGGCCCTCCCACTCGTAAGCTCTTCTCTGTCCTGGCACCCCAATGGTGGAACCAGCTTCCCCCTGACGCTAGGACAGCAGAGTCCCTGCCCATCTTCCCAAAAACATCTGAAACCCTTCCTCATCAAACAGTATCTTAAATAATCCTCCTCAAACAAATGTAATAAAAATAACCTTAACCAGCACTTTCCCTTGACCCCTCTAGCTTTGTCTCTACTGATCGCTCCGTTACTGAGGAAAAATGTCCTTTCTATGCCTGTGATATGTGGTTGTCCCACCTAGCTATCTTAAGATGAATGCACTTATAACGAAGTCACTCTGGATAAGAGCGTCTGCTAAATGACTAACATGTCAAATGTAAACGTAGACATGGCTTTAAGATGACATCCAATTCACCCTGTATACAGAGCACTGCAAAACCCTCATAGATCCTTCTAGACAGATGCTGTGTCACTACTCACTCCACGGTGAACTCGTGAGCTCCTACAGGAATGCAGTAAACAAACTGCATGGCGCTCCACAGCCGGTGGAACTCCACACACTCGTCCACGTGCATCACGCCGTTGCTTGGCAACGGGCCGCGCCAGATGGGGTCGTCCAGGAAACCACGGACACGTGTGAGGATGACCTCGAACATGGACAGGCCACAACACAGACGCTCTTTGGTCAGCAGGTCACCTTCACGGGTAATGGCTATTTGCTACAGTGGGAGAGAGGGGGGAGAAAGAGTGGGAATTAAAGGGGGAGAAATAGGGACGAGGGAGGGGGGAGGGGGGAGAGAGAGGGGGGAGGGGTTCCCAGGCGTTCTATCAGGGGAACCAGTTGCAGGGTTGGTGTTACTAAGGCAGTGTGATGGTACCTGAGGGGTTCCCAGGCGTTCTATCAGGGGAACCAGGTGTTACTAAGGCAGTGTGATGGTACCTGAGGGGTTCCCAGGCGTTCTATCAGGGGAACCAGGTGTTACTAAGGCAGTGTGATGGTACCTGTGGGGTTCCCAGGCGTTCTATCAGGGGGACCAGGTGCAGGGCTGTGTATTTAGCCTCCAGACGTTTCATCTTGGCATCAAGACGCTCACCCTCTACAGAAAGAGGAGACAACAGATTCACTGATCCACTCAGACAGACAGACAGAACAGACAGAACAGACAGACAATCTTACCCTTGACATGGATCCTGGGAAGAATGTTCTGGAATGGTGCGGCATGTAACAGGTCACACACCTCCTCCTGAGTCTGAGAGCGAAAGAGAAGATTGTTTAAAACAAAAACAACCCTGGGGAACTCATCCCACGCTATCCCCCACGGTCCCCTGGGGAACTCATCCCACGCTGTCCCCTACGCTCCCCTGGGGATCTCAGACCACGCTGTCCCCTACGCTCCCCTGGGGAACTCATCCCACGCTATCCCCTACGCTCCCCTGGGGAACTCATCCCACGCTATCCCCTACGCTCCCCTGGGGAACTCATCCCACGCTATCCCCTACGCTCCCCTGGGGAACTCATCCCACGCTGTCCCCTACGCTCCCCTGGGGATCTCAGACCACGCTGTCCCCCACGCTCCCCTGGGGAACTCATCCCACGCTATCCCCTACGCTCCCCTGGGGAACTCATCCCACGCTATCCCCTACGCTCCCCTGGGGAACTCATCCCACGCTATCCCCTACGCTCCCCTGGGGAACTCATCCCACGCTGTCCCCTACGCTCCCCTGGGGATCTCAGACCACGCTGTCCCCTACGCTCCCCTGGGGAACTCAGACCACGCTGTCCCCTACGCTCCCCTGGGGAACTCAGACCACGCTGTCCCCTACGCTCCCCTGGGGATCTCAGACCACGCTGTCCCCTACGCTCCTCTGGGGAACTCAGACCACGCTGCCCACCTGGGGATCTCAGACCACGCTGTCCACCACGGTCCCCTGGGGAACTCAGACCACGCTGTCCCCCACGATCCCCTGGGGAACTCAGACCACGCTGTCCCCCACGGTCCCCTGGGGAACTCAGACCACGCTGTCCCCCACGGTCCCCTGGGGAACTCAGACCACGCTGTCCCCTGACCAGGTGATGCTACACCTCATCCCAGCATACAGACAGAAACTAAAAAAAACACCAAGCATGTCAAACATACAGTGCGGAAATGGACTGAAGAGGCAATTGGGGAGTTAAAGGACTGCCTAGACACCACGGATTGGAACATATTCACGGACAACAATGCCAACATACACGACTACACAGACAGGGTCACATCCTACATCAGTGTATGTGAGGCGAACTGCATCCCATCAGACTTTTCTATCACACAGCAAAGACAAGCCATGGTTCACTGGTGAGATTAGGGCTCTCTGCAGTGCCAAAAGAGGAAGACCACAGGGTTCTCCGCAGTGCCAAAGAGGAAGACCAGGGACCTCTAGAGAGGCCAAAAAAAAGCTAGACTCAGGAATGAAGGCAGCCAAACAGCAGTAAAGGTCGGGCTAGAGCAGCAGTTCTCCAGCAACGACTGCTCATCTGTCTGAAAACAAATTTGACTAAAACAAACTACCAACTACAAACCAAAAGCACCCCCGACAGCAGATGACCCCTCACTGCTGAATAAACTAAACCAGTTTTACTGCAGATTTGACTCAAAAGGCCCCCTCAATCACCAGGAAAAGACCCCCCTCTACCTCCTTACCTTTGAGCGCCAGGCACTGTCCCATCTCAAAATCATGACTGATGCCTCCCTCAACCCTCTGCAGTTTGCCTACAGAGCTAACAGGTCTGTGGAAGACGCTGTCAACACGGGCCTACACTACATCCTCAAACACCTGGATAACCCAGAGACATATGCAAGGATATTGTTTGTGGACTTTAGCTCTGCATTCAATAACATCATCCCAGAACTGTTACAAGACAAACTCTCCCAGCTGAACGTGTCCAGCTCCATTTGTCAGTGGATCACTGACTTCCTGACCAACAGGACGCAACACGTGAAGCTGGGAAAACACCTTTCGGACCTATAATAATAATAATAATAAGCCATTTAGCAGACGCTTTTATCCAAAGCGACTTACAGTCATGCGTGCGTACATTTTTGTGTATGGGTGGTCCCGGGGATCGAACCCACTACCTTGGCGTTACAAGCGCCGTGCTCTACCAGCTGAGCTACATAGGACCAATCCCTCAGCACCGGAGCGCCGCAAGGATGCGTGCTCTCACCTCTACTCACAATACATCAATGACTGCACTTCCAACAACGCATCTGTCAAACTACTCAAGTTTGCAGATGACACCACTCAGGTCGGTCTCATCACCGACGGCGATGACTCCATGTACCGGTTGAGAGGTCGACCGGCTGGTGGTCTGGTGCAGTCGCAATAACCTGGAACTCAACACAGACAAAACCGTGGAGATCGTGGTTGACTTCAGAAAAATGCCCCTCAACATCTCTCCCCCTTGAGATTGATGGCTCAGCTGTTAGCACGGCTGAATCATTCAAATTCCTGGGGACCATCATCTCCCACAACCTCAACTGGAAGGACAACATCACAGCGGTCACCAAGAAGGCACACCAGCGGATGTACTACTTGCGGCAGCTGAAAAAACTCTACATCTCCCAGTCAAATAGAATAAAATGTATTCATAAAGCATCAGCAGATGTCACAGTGCTTATACAGAAACCCAGCCTAAAACCCCAAACAGCAAGCAATGCAGATGTAGAAGCACGGTGGCTAGGAAAAACTCCATAGAAAGGCAGAAACCTAGGAAGAAACCTAGAGAGGAACCAGGCTCTGAGGGGTGGCCAGTCCTCTACTGGCTGTACTGGGTAGACCAGAGGAACCAGGCTCTGAGGGGTGGCCAGTCCTCTTCTGGCTGTACTGGGTAGAGAGGAACCAGGGTGCCGGGTGGAGGTTATAACAGAACATGGCCATTAAGGCCAGATCGTTCTTTTAAGATGTTCTAACATCTTAATCCGGTTTTACGCATCAATCGTCAATCCATCCTCCATCACCGTCTGGTTTGGGTCTGCCGGCTGCAAGGTGAAACTGCAACGCATTGTTCAGTCTGCAGAGGGGGTCATCGGCTGCCACCTGCCCTCCATCAAGCTCCTGCAAGACTCCAGGGCAAGGAAGCGTGCAGTAAAGATAATCGCTGACCCCTCCCACCCCAGTCACCCCCTCCTCCAAAAATGCACCTCTGGCAAGCGGTTCAGGTCACTCATGACCAGAACCTTCCACCACCTGAACAGTTTGTTCCCCCAGGCTGTGGCCCTCACCAACCGGCCATCTAAAGGACTATGCCCTCTATGCTGCATACTGCATTAAGCCATCTCTGAACTGTACACTAAATAACTGCACTATAATGCATTACTCTGGTCATCTCTCTGCATTTATATATTCATACTGTTTCTGTAAATTTGTACCTCCACTGTATACCACTGAGTATACCTAACATTAGGAACACCTTTCTAATATTGAGTTGCACCCCCTTTTGCTCTCAGAACAGCCTCAATTCGTCGGGGCATGGACTCTACAAGGTGTCAAAAGCGTTCCCCAGGGATGCTGGCCCATGTTGACTCCAATGCTTCCCACAGTTGTGTCAAGTTGGCTGGATGTCCTTTGGGTGGTGGACCATTGTTGATACACACAGGAAACTGTTGAGCGTGAAAAACCCAGCAGCGTTGCAGTTCTTGACACAAACCGGTGCGCCTGGCACCTACTACCATACCCTGTTCAAAGGTACTTAAATCTGCAATATGTAACTTTTTGGGGCGACCCGACCAAATTCACATAGAAATGTGTGTTATAGATCTGTCATTCTCATTGAAAGCAAGTCTAAGAAGCGGTATATCTGTTCTATGTGAGCTATTTCTATGCTTCCCATTCTTAAGTTTAGTTTTTGCGTCTTTTACTTTCGGTTTTGTACACCAGCTTCAAACAGCTGAAAATATATTTCAAAGCAGTTTAGATTGTACAATGATTCTCTACACTGTACTTGCTTGTTTTGTCACATCAACTGAAATTAGGCGAACTATTAGAATTTTAGCAACCAGGAAATGGCGGATCGATTTCTGCACAGTGCACCTTTAAATCTTTGTCTTGCCCATTCACCCTCTGAATGGCACAATCCATGTCTCAGTTGTCTCAAGGCTTAAAAATCATTCTTTAACCTGTCTCCTCCCCTTCATCTACACTGATTGAAGTGGATTTAACAAGTGACATCAATAAGGGATCATAGCGTTCACCTGGATTCACCTGGTCAGTCTGGCATAATGTTTTGTATAGTGTATATATATATTTATCTGCTCCTTCTCTTATCGCTCTAACTCACTCTAACTAGTTGTATATAATGAAACCACTCTACGTAGTTGTATATAATGAAACCACTCTACCTAGTTGTATATAATGAAACCACTCTACCTAGTTGTATATAATGAAACCACTCTACCTAGTTGTATATAATGAAACCACTCTACCTAGTTGTATATAATGAAACCACTCTACCTAGTTGTATATAATGAAACCACTCTAACTAGTTGTATATAATGAAACCACTCTAACTAGTTGTATATAATGAAACCACTCTACCTAGTTGTATATAATGAAACCACTCTAACTAGTTGTATATAATGAAACCACTCTACCTAGTTGTATATAATGAAACCACTCTACCTAGTTGTATATAATGAAACCACTCTACCTAGTTGTATATAATGAAACCACTCTACCTAGTTGTATATAATGAAACCACTCTACCTAGTTGTATATAATGAAACCACTCTACCTAGTTGTATATAATGAAACCACTCTAACTAGTTGTATATAATGAAACCACTCTAACTAGTTGTATATAATGAAACCACTCTAACTAGTTGTATATAATGAAACCACTCTACCTAGTTGTATATAATGAAACCACTCTAACTAGTTGTATATAATGAAACCACTCTACCTAGTTGTATATAATGAACCACTCTACCTAGTTGTATATAATGAAACCACTCTACCTAGTTGTATATAATGAAACCACTCTAACTAGTTGTATATAATGAAACCACTCTACCTAGTTGTATATAATGAAAACCACTCTAACTAGTTGTATATAATGAAACCACTCTACCTAGTTGTATATAAATGAAAACCACTCTACCTAGTTGTATATAATGAAACCACTCTACCTAGTTGTAATAATGAACCCCTATAAAATGTATATAATAAACCACTCTACCTAGTTGTATATAATGAAAACCACTCTACCTAGTTGTATATAATGAAACCACTCTACCTAGTTGTATATAATGAAACCACTCTAACTAGTTGTATATAATGAAACCACTCTAACTAGTTGTATATAATGAAACCACTCTAACTAGTTGTATATAATGAAACCACTCTACCTAGTTGTATATAATGAAACCACTCTACCTAGTTGTATATAATGAAACCACTCTAACTAGTTGTATATAATGAAACCACTCTAACTAGTTGTATATAATGAAACCACTCTAACTAGTTGTATATAATGAAAACCACTCTACCTAGTTTGATATAATGAAAAGGATAACCACTCTACCTAGTTGTATATTAATGTGAAACACTCTAACTAGTTGTATATAATGAAACCACTCTAACTAGTTGTATATAATGAACCACTCTACTAGTTGTATATAATGAAACCACTCTACTAGTTGTATATAATGAAAACCACTCTAACTAGTTGTATATAATGAAACCACTCTAACTAGTTGTAATAATGAAACCACTCTATCTAGTTGTATATAATGAAACCACTCTAACTAGTTGTATATAATGAAACCACTCTACCTAGTTGTATATAATGAAACCACTCTAACTAGTTGTATATAATGAAACCACTCTAACTAGTTGTATATAATGAAACCACTCTAACTAGTTGTATATAATGAAACCACTCTAACTAGTTGTATATAATGAAACCACTCTACCTAGTTGTATATAATGAAACCACTCTACCTAGTTGATAAATGAAACCACTCTAACAGTTGTATATAATGAAAACCACTCTAACTAGTTGTATATAATGAAACCACTCTACCTAGTTGTATATAATGAAACCACTCTACCTAGTTGTATATAATGAAACCACTCTAACTAGTTGTATATAATGAAACCACTCTAACTAGTTGTATATAATGAAACCACTCTACCTAGTTGTATATAATGAACACTCTAACTAGTTGTATTAATGAAACCACTCTACCTAGTTGTATATAATGAAACCACTCTAACTAGTTGTATATAATGAAACCACTCTACCTAGTTGTATATAATGAAACCACTAACTAGTTGTATATAATGAAACCACTCTACCTAGTTGTATATAATGAAACCACTCTACCTAGTTGTATATAATGAAACCACTAACTAGTTGTATATAATGAAACCACTCTACCTAGTTGTATATAATGAAACCCCTCTACCTAGTTGTATATAATGTATGGAAACCACTAACTAGTTGTATATAATGAATGGAAACTGTTTAAACTCGTTGTCTGTAAATGTTGTCTATCACCATATGACCAGGTAACATTCTGACTATGTTTAAATGTAATTGGTGAATAAAGGTGATTCAGGTGTTGAGGTTGTGTAGACGTGTTTGGGTCGTGGTTCTTATCAGGCTCTGTTCGCTGCGCAGACAGAACAGCAGGGTATAAATTTGCATGTGGTTGAGGTTGTATTGTGGTCATGATGTGTTTGGTCATGATGTGGTTGAGGTTGTATTGTGGTCATGATGTGGTTGAGGTTGTATTGTGGTCATGATGTGTTTGGTCATGATGTGGTTGAGGTTGTATTGTGGTCATGATGTTGGTTGAGGTTGTATTGTGGTCATGATGTGGTTGAGGTTGTATTGTGGTCATGATGTGGTTGAGGTGTATTGTGGTCATGATGTGGTTTGAGGTTGTATTGTGGTCATGATGTGGTTGAGGTGTTGTATTGTGGTCATGATGTGGTTGAGGTTTGTATTGTGGGTCATGATGTGGTTGAGGTTGTATTGTGGTCATGATGTGGTTGAGGTTGTATTGTGGTCATGATGTGGTTGAGGTTGTATTGTGGTCATGATGTGTTTGGTCATGATGTGGTTGAGGTTGTATTGTGGTCATGATGTGGTTGAGGTTGTATTGTGGTCATGATGTGGTTGAGGTTGTATTGTGGTCATGATGTGGTTGAGGTTGTATTGTGGTCATGATGTGTTTGGTCATGATGTGACCTCCCGAGTGGCGCAGTGGTCTAAGGCACTGCATCGCAGTGCTAGCTGTGCCACTAGAGATCCTGGCTCTGTCGTGGCCGGCCGCGACCGGGAGACCCATGGGGCGGCGCACAATTGGCCCAGCGTCGTCCAGGGTAGGGGAGGGAATGGCCGGCAGGGATGTAGCTCAGTTGGTAGAGCATGGCGTTTGCAACGCCAGGGTTGTGGGTTCGATTCCCACGGGGGGCCAGTATGAAAAATTAAAACACTCACTAACTGTAAGTCGCTCTGGATAAGAGCGTCTGCTAATGACGTAAACGTAAATGTAAATGTGTTTGAGGTTCTTACCAGGCTCTGTTCGCTGAGCAGACAGAACAGCAGGGCATTGCCCACCTCTCTGAGGTTCTGGAAGCAGACCGTCTTCAGTTCAGCGTACTCCACTATGTCCTTCAGCTGGTGGTGGAAGAACTCCAGGATACCTGGCAGGGAACAGAGACAGACAGATCTGCTAATCAAATCAAGAGATCGATTAAGGACACTCATAATAGCTTGCAACTATTGCCAATTTGATCTTGCTGAAACTTTTAATTATATAAAAATCTGTCAGACATTGAAGGGAGCTCCCTGTCTCTCCCTGGACTCACCCGGGGAGCCGTACTCGTGGCGTGGGAGACGGCAGATCTTAGGCATCACCTCCATCAGGGTCTTCACATACTGCATGATGGTGCCCTGGAGCTGAGCGGGGACGGATGGACAGGGTTAATAAGGGCTGATCTAGAGGAATGGTACCACTATCTAGAGGAATGGTACTACTATATCTAGAGGAATGGTACTACTATATCTAGAGGCATGGTACTACTATCTAGAGGAATGGTACTACTATCTAAGGAATGGTACTACTATCTAGAGGAATGGTACCACTATCTAGAGGAATGGTACTACTATCTAGAGGAATGGTACTACTATATCTAGAGGAATGGTACTACTATATCTAGAGGCATGGTACTACTATCTAGAGGAATGGTACTACTATCTAAGGAATGGTACCACTATCTAGAGGAATGGTACCACTATCTAGAGGAATGGTACTACTATATCTAGAGGAATGGTACTACTATATCTAGAGGCATGGTACTACTATCTAGAGGAATGGTACTACTATCTAAGGAATGGTACTACTATCTAGAGGAATGGTACTACTATCTAGAGGAATGGTACTACTATCTAGAGGAATGGTACTACTATCTAGAGGAATGGTACTACTATCTAGAGGAATGGTACTACTATCTAAGGAATGGTACTACTATCTAGAGGAATGTATACTATCTAGAGGAATGGTACTACTATCTAGAGGAATGGTACTACTATCTAGAGGAATGGTACTACTATCTAAGGAATGGTACTACTATCTAGAGGAATGGTACTACTATCTAGAGGAATGGTACTACTATCTAGAGGAATGGTACTACTATCTAGAGGAATGGTACTACTATCTAGGATGGTACATATTAGAGGAATGGTACTACTATATCTAGAGGAATGGTACTACTATCTAGAGGAATGGTACCTACTATCTAGAGGAATGGTACTACTATATCTAGAGGAATGGTACTACTATATCTAGAGGAATGGTACTACTATATCTAGAGGAATGGTACCACTATCTAGAGGAATGGTACTACTATATCTAGAGGAATGGTACTACTATATCTAGAGGAATGGTACTACTATATCTAGAGGAATGGTACTACTATCTAGAGGAATGGTACTACTATCTAGAGAGAATGGTACTACTATATCTAGAGGAATGGTACACATATCTAGAGGAATGGTACCACTATCTAGAGGAATGGTACTACTATCTAGAGGAATGGTACTACTAATCTAGAGGAATGGTACTACTATATCTAGAGGAATGGTATACTACTATCTAGAGGAATGGTACTACTATATCTAGAGGAATGGTACTACTATATCTAGAGGAATGGTACTACTATCTAGAGGAATGGTACTACTATCTAGAGGAATGGTACTACTATCTAGAGGAATGGTACTACTATATCTAGAGGAATGGTACTACTATATCTAGAGGAATGGTACTACTATATCTAGAGGAATGGTACTACTATATCTAGAGGAATGGTACTACTATATCTAGAGGAATGGTACTACTAATCTAGAGGAATGGTACTACTATCTAGAGGAATGGTACTACTATATCTAGAGGAATGGTACTACTATATCTAGAGGAATGGTACCACTATCTAGAGGAATGGTACTACTATCTAGAGGAATGGTACTACTATCTAGAGGAATGGTACTACTATATCTAGAGGAATGGTACTACTATCTAGAGGAATGGTACTACTATCTAGAGGAATGGTACTACTATCTAGAGGAATGGTACTACTATATCTAGAGGAATGGTACTACTATATCTAGAGGAATGGTACTACTATCTAGAGGAATGGTACTACTATATCTAGAGGAATGGTACTACTATCTAGAGGAATGGTACTACTATCTAGAGGAATGGTACTACTATATCTAGAGGAATGGTACTACTATATCTAGAGGAATGGTACTACTACTATCTAGAGGAATGGTACTACTTATCTAGAGGAATGGTACTACTATCTAGAGGAATGGTACTACTATCTAGAGGAATGGTACCACTATCTAGAGGAATGGTACTACTATATCTAGAGGAATGGTACTACTATATCTAGAGGAATGGTACTACTATCTAGAGGAATGGTACTACTATCTAGAGGAATGGTACTACTATATCTAGAGGAATGGTACTACTATATCTAGAGGAATGGTACTACTATCTAGAGGAATGGTACTACTATATCTAGAGGAATGGTACTACTATCTAGAGGAATGGTACTACTATATCTAGAGGAATGGTACTACTATCTAGAGGAATGGTACTACTATACAGTGGGGAAAAAAAGTATTTAGTCAGCCACCAATTGTGCAAGTTCTCCCACTTAAAAAGATGAGAGAGGCCTGTAATTTTCATCATAGGTACACGTCAACTATGACAGACAAATTGAGAATTTTTTTTCCAGAAAATCACATTGTAGGATTTTTTATGAATTTATTTGCAAATTATGGTGGAAAATAAGTATTTGGTCACCTACAAACAAGCAAGATTTCTGGCTCTCACAGACTTGTAACTTCTTCTTTAAGAGGCTCCTCTGTCCTCCACTCGTTACCTGTATTAATGGCAACTGTTTGAACTTGTTATCAGTATAAAATGTTGCCATCCTGTACCTGTCCCGCAGGTGTGATGTTCAGATGTACCGATCCTGTGCAGGTGTTGTTACACGTGGTCTGCCACTGCGAGGACGATCAGCTGTCCGTCCTGTCTCCCTGTAGCGCTGTCTAAGGCGTCTCACAGTACGGACATTGCAATTTATTGCCCTGGCCACATCTGCAGGTCCTCATGCCTCCTTGCAGCATGCCTAAGGCACGTTCACGCAGATGAGCAGGGACCCTGGGCATCTTTCTTTTGGTGTTTTTCAGAGTCAGTAGAAAGGCCTCTTTAGTGTCCTAAGTTTTCATAACAGTGACCTTAATTGCCTACCGTCTGTAAGCTGTTAGTGTCTTAACGACCGTTCCACAGGTGCATGTTCATTAATTGTTTATGGTTCATTGAACAAGCATGGGAAACAGTGTTTAAACCCTTTACAATGAAGATCTGTGAAGTTATTTTGAGTTTTACAAATTATCTTTGAAAGACAGGGTCCTGAAAAAGGAATGTTTCTTTTTTTGCTGAGTTTACATGGAATCACTGGTCACTTTAATAATGGAACACTAGTCACTTTAATAATGTTTACATACTGCTTTACTCATCTCATATGTATATACTGTATTCTATTCTACTGTATTTTAGTCAATGCCACTCTGACATTGCTCGTCCTAATATTGATATATTTCTTAATTCCATTCTTTTAGATCTGTGTGTATTGTTGTGTGTTGTTAGATATTACTGTACTGTTGGAGCTAGGAACACAAGCATTTCACTACAACCGCAATAACATCTGCTAAATATGTGTATGTGACCAATACAATTTGATTTAATTTGAATACATAGCTATTCCTGCTGTCAGTGTTTTTTCAGGACCCTTTACAATGAAGATCTGTGAAGTTATTTGGATTTTTACGAATTATCTTTGAAAGACAAGGTCCTGAAAAAGGGACGTTTCTTTTTTGCTGAGTTTAGAAATGTGAGTTATAGATCTGTCACTCTCATTGAAATCAAGTCTAAAAAGCAGTAGATCTGTTTTATCTGCACTATTTCTATACTTCCCTTTTAGTTTTTGCGTCTTTTACTTTGGGTTTTGTACACCAGCTTCAAAACAGCTGAAAATACAATATTTTTGATTATGGAAAATTATATTTCAGAGCGCTTTAGATACAATGTTTCTCTACACTATACTTGCTTGTTTTGTCACAAACTGAAATTAGGCGAACTATTATAATTTTTGCAATCAGGAAATGGAGGAGCGATTTCTGCATAGTGCATCTTTAACTTTGACCTTTTTCAAAAGGAGGCGAGAGCGGATGGAGGAGAGAGGACACGAGGTGAGCAAATCTAACTGACTAAAGGCCAAGGACAACATCCGTCTCTGTCATCAGTTACAAGAAGTAGACCATTTTCTAACACCATGGTAATAGGAAATGCCCATTCTCCTACATCCTGAAGCACCCTCCATCCCCCCTCCCTCCCCCCTCCACCCTCACCCCCTCCATTCCTTCTCCACCCTCATCCCTCCATTCCTCCTCCACCCTCACCCTCCATTCCTCCCTCCACCCTCACCCTCCATTCCTCCCTACACCTCACCCTCCATTCTCTCCACCCTCACCCTCCTTCCTCCACCCTCACCCGCCATTTCCCTCCTCCCTCCCTCCCCTCCCACTCCCACCCCCCTACTCCACTGTGACATCATGCCCCCCCCCCCTCCACCCCCCTCTCCTTTCTCACCAGGCTCTTGACCACTTTGAGCAGCTCCTCTATGACCACAGCGATGCCCTGGTACCCCAGCAGGCGACACATGGCCTTGATGTGAGGAGGACCAACAAAGTGCCTGTAGAAACCAAAGATACTGCTGTACGCCAGGTTCAGAGCCTGTAGAGGGGGAGAGAGAGGGGGAGAGAGGGGGAGAGAGAGAGAGAGGGGGAGAGACAGGGAGAGAGGAGAGAGAGGGAAACAGGGAGAGTGGGAGAGAGAGAGAGAAAGTTATGCCAGAATTTCCCCCTCCAATTTTCACTTTCTGACTCCCTCCCTTCCTGTCAGCTCTGAGTTGCTGCTGCTGTAATCGCTCAGTGGGGAGGCTGGGGGCTAGGGGAGAAGTGTTACACTACAGGGGGCTAGGGGAGAAGTGTTACACTACAGGGGGCTAGGGGAGAAGTGTTACACTGTAGGGGGCTAGGGGAGAAGTGTTACACTGCAGGGGGCTAGGGGGGAAGTGTTACACTACAGGGGGCTAGGGGAGAAGTGTTACACTACAGGGGGCTAGGGGAGAAGTGTTACACTACAGGGGGCTAGGGGAGAAGTGTTACACTACACTGTAGGAGGCTAGGGGAGAAATGTTACACTACAGGGGGCTAGGGGAGAAGTGTTACACTACAGGGGGCTAGGGGAGAAGTGTTACACTACACTGTAGGGGGCTAGGGGAGAAGTGTTACACTACACGGAGGGGGCTAGGGGAGAAGTGTTACACGTAAGGGGCTAGGGGAGAAGTGTTACACTAGGAGGCTAGGGGAGAAGTGTTACACTAGGGGCTAGGGGGAGAAGTGTTACACTACACTGTAGGGGGCTAGGGAGAAGTGTTACACGTAGGGAGGCTAGGGAGAAGTGTTACACGTGTAGGAAAGGTCCTAAGGGAGGGAGAAGTGTTACACTACAGTAGGGGCTAGGGGAAGAAGTGTTACACTACACTGTAGGGGGCAAGGTGTTACACTGTAGGAGGCTAGGGGAGAAGTGTTACACTGTAGGAGGCTAGGGGAGAAGTGTTACAACTGTAGGGGGCTAGGGAGAAGTGTTACACTGTAGGAGGCTAGGGGAGAAGTGTTACACTACACTGTAGGGGCTAGGGGAGAAGTGTTACACTGTAGGAGGCTAGGGGAGAAGTGTTACACTACACTGTAGGAGGCTAGGGGAGAAGTGTTACACTAGGGGCTAGGGGGAGAAGTGTTACACTGTAGGAGGCTAGGGGAGAAGTGTTACCACTGTAGGGGGCTAGGGGAGAAGTGGTTACAACTGTAGGGGGCTAGGGAGAAGTGTTACACTGTAGGGGGCTAGGGGAGAAGTGTACACTGTAGGGGCTAGGGGAGAAGTGTTACACTGTAGGGGGGCTAGGGGAGAAGTGTTACACTGGTAGGGGGCCTAGGGGAGAAGTGTTACACTGTAGGAGACTAGGGGAGAAGTGTTACACTGTAGGAGGCTAGGGGAGAAGTGTTACAACTGTAGGAGGCTAGGGGAGAAGTGTTACACTGTAGGAGGCCTAGGGAGAAGTGTTTACACTACACTGTAGGGGGCTAGGGGAGAAGTGTTACACTACACTGTAGGAGGCTAGGGGAGAAGTGTTACACTACACTGTAGGAGACTAGGGGAGAAGTGTTACACTGTAGGAGGCTAGGGGAGAAGTGTTACACTGTAGGGGGCTAGGGGAGAAGTGTTACACTGTAGGAGGCTAGGGGAGAAGTGTTACACTGTAGGAGGCTAGGGGAGAAGTGTTACACTACACTGTAGGGGGCTAGGGGAGAAGTGTTACACTGTAGGAGGCTAGGGGAGAAGTGTTACACTACACTGTAGGAGACTAGGGGAGAAGTGTTACACTGTAGGAGGCTAGGGGAGAAGTGTTACACTGTAGGAGGCTAGGGGAGAAGTGTTACACTACAGGGGGCTAGGGGAGAAGTGTTACACTGTAGGGGGCTAGGGGAGAAGTGTTACACTACAGGGGGCTAGGGGAGAAGTGTTACACTACACTACAGGGGGCTAGGGGAGAAGTGTTACACTACAGGGGGCTAGGGGAGAAGTGTTACACTACAGGGGGCTAGGGGAGAAGTGTTACACTACAGGGGGCTAGGGGAGAAGTGTTACACTACACTACAGGGGGCTAGGGGAGAAGTGTTACACTACAGGGGGCTAGGGGAGAAGTGGTTACACTACAGGGGGGGGGGGGGCTAGGGGCTAGGATAATTACACTGTAGGGGCTAGGGAGAAGTGTTACACTGTAGGAGGCTAGGGGAGAAGTGTTACACTGTAGGAGGCTAGGGGAGAAGTGTTACACTGTAGGAGGCTAGGGGAGAAGTGTTACACTGTAGGAGGCTAGAAGAGGACAGAGCCTTCCCTGGTGGTCCACTCTTCTATAGACCACACCTCACCAGACCACACCTCACCAGACCACACCTCACCAGACCAGACCACACCTCACCAGACCACACCAGACCAGACCTCACCAGACCAGACCAGACCTCACCAGACCAGACCACACCTCACCAGACCACACCCAGACCAGACCTCACCAGACCAGACCAGACCTCACCAGACCAGACAAGACCACACCTCACCACACCAGACCACAGACAGTGGATCAGAAGAGCTGTGTGGCCATGACAAAGCTACAGGAAGGAAGTCCAAAGCTACAGGAAGGAAGTCCAGTCGCAGCAGAAACCAGCTTCACTCTGAATCAGCTACCCCGAGCAGCAAACAGACTGACCTGCCAATCAACCCTTCCTCTAAGCATGTGTTTACGGTAAGTCTGTCAAATTCTGCTGTTATTTGTCTGACTCTTAACTGTATTCATTGTTTGACACTAGCTGCCAGCTGAGTCTCTGTCATCCTGCCTGGGAACAGAGCAGAGTCCCTCACACGTTGTTATGGGCAACTACTGATTACACACAGACGAAAAAAGAAAGGTTGTGATTGGTTGAAAAGCGATAGCCACCTACACACTGAATTCTGTATCTTTAAGAGTTCTTCAAGTCTTAAAGACATTATATAGAAATACATCAAAGCTAGACAGACCCCTGTCTGTTGAAGTGACTTTAGCTCATCAAACAGGGTTTGAAGTCCTGGACCTCACCAGAAAGAAGAGAGGGGAGATCTGACGCCTCTAAATAACATATTGAACCATGACTGAAGTCCAGATCTGCGTCCCAAATGGCACCCTGTTCCCTATATAGTGCACTACTTTAGACCAGAGAATGGCACCCTATTCCACTATATAGGCACTACTTTAGACCAGAGAATGGCACCCTATTCCCCTATATAGTGCATACTTTAGACCAGAGAATGCACTCTATTCCCTATATAGTGCACTACTTTAGACCAGAGAATGGTACCCTATTCCCTTATAGTGCACTGACTTTAGACCAGAGAATGGCACCCTATTCCCCGATATAGTGCACTACTTTAGGACCAGGAATGGCAACCCTATTCCCTATATAGTGCACTACTTTAGACCAGAGAATGGCACCCTATTCCTTATTAGGTGCACTACTTTAGGACCAGAGAATGGCCACCCTATTCCCTATATAGTGCACTACTTTAGACCAGAGAATGGCACACTATTCCCTATATAGTGCACTACTTAGACCAGAGAATGGCACCCTATTCCCTATATAGTGCACTACTTTAGACCAGAGAATGGCACCCTATTCCCTATTAGTGCACTACTTTAGACCAGAGAATGGCACCCTATTCCCTATATAGTGCACTACTTTAGACCAGAGAATGGCACCCTATTCCCTATTAGTGCACTACTTTAGACCAGAGAATGGCACCCTATTCCCTATATAGTGCACTACTTTAGACCAGAGAATGGCACCCTATTCCTATATAGTGCACTACTTTAGACCAGAGGCATATGGCACCCTATTCCCTATTAGTGCACTACTTTAGACCAGGGCCCTATGGCACCCTTTCCCTATATAGTGCACTACTTTAGACCAGGCCCTATGGCACCCTGTTCCCTATATAGTGCACTACTTTAGACCAGAGTATGGCACCCTTTCCCTATATAGTGCACTACTTTAGACCAGAGCCATATGGCACCCTGTTCCCTATTAGTGCACTACTTTAGACCAGAGAATGGCACCCTATTCCCTAATAGTGCACTACTTTAGACCAGAGAATGGCACCCTATTCCCTATATAGTGCACTACTTTAGACCAGAGAATGGCACCCGATTCCCTATATAGTGCACTACTTTAGACCAGAGCATATGGCACCCTGTTCCCTATATAGTGCACTACTTTAGACCAGAGCCCTATGGCACCCTGTTCCCTATATAGTGCCACTACTTTAGACCAGAGCCTATGGCACCCTGTTCCTATATAGTGCACTACTTTAGACCAGGGCCCTATGGCCACCCTATTCCCTTATAGTGCACTACTTTAGACCAGAGAATGGCACCCTATTCCCTATATAGTGCAATACTTAGACCAGAGAATGGCACCCTATTCCCTATATAGTGCCACTACTTTAGACCAGAGAATGGCACCCTATTCCCTATATAGTGCACTACTTTAGACCAGAGAATGGCACCCTATTCCCTATATAGTGCACTACTTTAGACCAGAGAATGGCACCCTATTCCCTATATAGTGCACTACTTTAGACCAGAGAATGGCACCCTATTCCCTATATAGTGCACTACTTAGTCCAGAGATGCACCCTACTTCCCTATATAGTGCACTACTTTAGACCAGAGATGGCACCCTATCCCTATACAGTGCCTCTTAACCCAGAGAATGGCACCATTCCCTATAAGTGCACTACTTTAGACCAGGCCCATGCGCCTATTCCCTATAAGTGCACTACTTTAGACCAGGGCCATACACCCTTCCCTATAGTGCACTACTTAGACCAGAGACATGGCACCCCTTTCCCTATAGGCACATCCTTTAGAGCCAGGCCCTATGGCGCCTATTCCTATAGTGCACTACTTAGACCAGGCCCTAGCAGCCCTTTCCCTATATAGTGCCACTACTTTAGACCAGGGCCAGGACCTATTCCTAATAGGCACTACTTTAACCCGGGGCCTATGGACACCTATTCCCATATAGTGCACTACTTTAGACCAGGCCTATGGCACCCTGTTCCCTATATGGCACTACTTTAACCAGCCTATGACACCCTATCCC